CCACCAGTTAAGAGGACGGTATCCAAATCTACCTTGGGCATTTCTTAGTGCCCCTACTATATTTGGTAAATACCGTACATTCGACATATTATATTGAATATATGGTATATTCGGCAAATACCGATCAAACGGTAAATACCGATTAAACGGTAAATACCGAAAGACCGGTATACCGGTAAGTGTAAAAAGCCGGTATTTATAAATACCGGTGACTTACCGGTATACCGAAAATACCGCCAACTCTACCGGACAGTGTATAATATGTAATTATATAAACATACATACCTACACCTATTATATACGAGTGCGTCTGGACTCAACGTATACGACGGCGTTTGGTTTCCAGACAAAACGTCAGAAAATTAATAGTAATAACAACAATAATAATATGTTCTCGTACGATTTTTTACGGTTATTGCGCGGAATATTCGACAACGCGAAAAATCGTATTCGGTGCCGATTAATCATCGCTCATCGTTCCGTCACCGTCTCTCGCCCGGGCTTCAGAGTACTGGGATTAACGCGAGCMGCCTACCCGCTGTTATTGTAGTCTCGTCCTCCAAAAACCCTATACGCAAACTGCCATTCAATATATATACTATATTATGTTATGTTATGTTTTTATTGTAAGTATATACATGTATACAATAAGTGTGTATACCGTCTCTCGAATTAGAGTGGCGATAACGCGCGAGCATTAATAACGACTACGCCACTTCCGCGGGCCTTTCGGAAACTTCCGTGTACGCCACCGCAGCTGACAGTATAATATTATATTATAATATACGACCGCAGCAGCCGTCGTACGTGATCCGCGTAAACGATAGTCGGACAACCGCGCGAGGACATGCAATATTATACAAACGCGAGTGCAATGTATATATTATATTATAGACATATAAATGCCAATTATTATAATATTATTATGTAGACAGAAATATATGATAAAATATAATATATTGACATATTTTATAATGAACTTCTTTATACTTCACGCATGATGTATATATGTATATATTATATGTAACGTCGGTTATATCACGTTTTCAGTGCCTATCTATATACATAAGGTATATCATATTATGTATTCGATAACTGCGCGTGTTTCGCATTGACTTCGCACTGATAGTATTATTGTACAACTAGGTACTTACCTAGACTTATATTTAATGTTAGAACTATGCACAATAGTCGTTTTGCTGCGAGTGTCCGTTGTGTGTATTTTTGTGATGACAAAGAAACTTTTTATTCGCCGTGTGTTTGAAAAATTTTCGGTTTTCTATATGTATATAGTGTACTTTAGAAGAATTTTTTTCTTTTTACGTTTCCGCAGCTCAATTATTATTATCTATTAAAATGTCCGTTCGCTTAACTCCCAGGGGCGTACTCGAGGGGGGGGTCGTGTGGTTTGAACCTCCCCCATGACCTCACTAACCTATGTAGTCTTGTGCGTTCGTGCTTAGGGGAGAGGTGGCCACAGTAAGACACGGGGCACAGTGATCCATTAAATAATATGATGGAGAATCCAGAAGATTCATAAAATCATAATAAACATAATGGTTAACTATTAGTCACGATACTAGTATCCGTGCTATTAGTAAGTTCAGGTCAAAAATGATACTATCATCTTTTCATAATATTGTTATTTTTTGCTATCAAAACGTGAAAAATGTGAGCTTCGTTTTTTTCAATTTTGGTATCGAATTTTATTCAAAGTTACGTATTTTAAAGTATGTATAAATTAAATTTTTCTTGTGCAAAATTTAGTTATATGCACAATTGTTTATCATAAATATTCATACGAGAATAATAAAAAATAGACAGTACACAGTGAGACAAATAAATACTTTTGTCTCGCTGTACCCAACATCAGTTAACTCTAAAACAAGACTGTTGAAATAAATTGTGATCATAATAAAGTGATATTATAGGTTATGATTAATATTTAATTTTTAAAACTTAAACATAAAACTATTGAAATAAACAAAGTGAACACCTACATTTTTTTAATTGTACAAAAACACAATTAATTATTTTAAAATTTGTTAAAAAAATTATCTTTAATTGTTTTATCATATTATATTATAAATGTTGTGAAATGAAAAGTTTAAATGTAAAAGATAAACTACAATTTTATATTATGTACCATAGTGCCCCGTGACGTGTCTCATTGTGTACAAGGCTGGGTCACAGTGAGACCCTATGACATTTTTAGAAAATTTCTCTGGGTTGAAATTTCGTTAAATTTTAGAATGTTTTAATATGTTTTTTAATGTTTAATAATATTTAGAATAAAACCATAACGCCGTTGAAGGCTTATCACTTAAAACAAAAAACAATATTTAAAAAGTAATTTTTAGTGTCTCACTGTGGCCCCCTCTCCCCTATATATAACTCACAGAAGCAATTTTCTAAAAAAAAAATTTTTTTTAAGGGAAAAAATAAACAAAATATATCTATTTTAAATCGTATGTCAACATGCAATATACAACGATTGCTTGCATTATCTGTTAAGAACTGTAAGATTAGATAGATAAGTAACAATATTTTT